AAAAAAGGGTGTCGGATTCTTATTGGTGATGGTGCTACGGCCAAACTGAGCACTGATAATTGGTTGCCTACACATCCTCCGCGTCCACCATCTGTAAATGTATCTTCAGAGATGGGTGTCCATGAACTAATTACAAAAAATCCGTATAGACAATGGGATATGGATATTATTCCAACTATCTTGAATGAGGCTGATCAGGAGATTGTACAAACGATTCATTTAAGTCAAACGCCGGGTCCAGATCGACTAGTATGGAACTACACTAAGGATGGACAATATACAGTTTCTACGGGCTATTGGTTTTTACGTCATAATCCTGACTTCGAACAAGTTGCACCTGCAGTACCTTATGGGGATCCTCTTCTCAAATTTAAAATTTGGAAGTTAAATATTATACCTAAACTAAAACACTTCCTTTGGCGAATTTTAACAAAAGCGGTGAGTACAGCTTCACGACTAAATACTCGCGGTTTAAATATGGATCCCATATGCCAACGGTGTGGTTTGGAAGATGAAACAATCGACCATTGTTTATTTACATGTCCTGAATCAATTAGTATTTGGAGATTGTCCAAATTACCTTTCCATTCTATGTTAACGGTTGTTGGAAATTTGGAAGATAAAATCGCATTACTTATGCAGATACAACGTCCATCTTCTCCTCTTTCCATATCTGATCAATACCTCCCGTTCTGGCTGCTATGGAGGATTTGGAAATCACGTAATACACTATTATTCCAAAAGAAGAAAATACCATTACAAACAACAGTTCATAATGCTGTTTCTGATGTAAATGAGTGGTTCACATGCTACTCAGCTGATCCTCCGTTCATGAAGCCTGCAAATCAGAGACGGGTATCTGAGAAATGGGTTCGCCCGGTTCAAGGGTTATTTAAATGTAATTATGATGCAGCTTTTAATTTAAGCACAAGGCGAGTTACTTCCGGTTGGATAGTCCGAGATAGTGATGGAACAACTATTAAGTGGGGAGCAGGGGATGCTGGTCTAGCTGTCACGAGTTTGGAGGCGGAAGCCAAAGCCCTTATAATGGCTATGCAAAATTTGTGGTCTGCAGGTTTTAAAAACATTATTTTTGAAGGAGACTCACAAGTTCTTACTAACACAATCACGAACACTCAACATGATATTACACTGTCTAGTTATCTCCAGGATATTTCCTATTGGTCCACCAAACTAGGAGACGTACAACATGCTTTCATTAGTCGAAATGGGAACCAAGCAGCTCATCTACTCGCAAAACGGGGTCCTCCCAATGGATTGTTTTATTCGAATTATTGTAATTTGCCTTTTTGGTTAACACCAACTTTGTACTCAGACCTAATGTTTTCAAGTTAATAAAGTTCTAACTTCGTCGAAAAAAAAAAAAAAGGAAAGATATACCTTGTTGGTAAAGGCTTTTAATTAGTTAATTCGTTTATTAATAACTTACCTTATTTTATTATCAATTACTTGCGCAAGTTGATACGATGATTACCTTATTTTGCCATCAGTTACTTGTCTTAAATGGTTTTATACATTTTATCAACTTTGTACTCAAATATGATTTTATACAATTTATCATATTATAAAATGTATATCCTATAAATTCATATATGTAAACTATATATTTCTTTTTGTCATCTTTTTTTGTCCTCATAAACTATATAGTTCTATGTCAATTATAATATAACTTTATACAATTTATCACATAATAAATTATGTATATAATTCAGAGTTAGGATATGATATGTGTAACATTTTTGTATATATTTCTAATACTAATGTTAGAATTAAATAGGTTAAATACAAATTTCTATAATAAATATAAGTGATAAAACATAATTATTATATATTTCTATAGATTTACAATATATCAAAATCAAAACTATTTATTATTCTTTAATTTTATAACCATATTATGGTATTAGGAAAGATATACCTTGTTGGTAAAGGCTTTTAATTAGTTAATTCGTTTATTACTAACTTGCCTTATTTTATTATCAATTACTTGCGCAAGTTGAAATTATGTTTACCTTATTTTGCCATCAGTTACTTGTCTTAAATGGTTTTATACATTTTCTCAACTTTGTACTCAAATATGATTTTATACAATTTATCATATTATAAATGTATATCCTATAAATTCATATATGTAAACTATATATTTCTTTTTTGTCATCTTTTTTTGGTCATCTTTTTTTTTGTCATCTTTTTTTTTTGTCATCATAAACTATATAGTTCTATGTCAATTATAATTTAACTTTATACAATTTATCACATAATAAATTATGTATATAATTCAGAGTTAGAATATGATATGTGTAACATTTTTGTATATATTTCTAATACTAATGTTATAATTAAATCGGTTAAATACAAATTTCTCTATTAAATATAAGTGATAAAATATAATTATTATATATTTCTATAGATTTAAAATATATCAAAATCAAAACTATTAATTATTCTTTAATTCTATAACCATATTATGGTATTAGGAAAGATATACCTTGTTGGTAAAGGCTTTTAATTAGTTGATTTGTTTATTAATAACTTGTCTTATTTTATTATCAATTACTTGCGCAAGTTGATAAGATGATTACCTTA